TAATAAGGCTGAACTTTTTCTGTTCAAGATGCAGAATACATCTTTGTCCCAACTCCAAATCTACAAAAAGCCACAGTACTCCAGGATTTCCACTAAATTTCCCCAAGTTACTTGTACGTTGACAAAAAAATCCCCAGTGCTTCCCTGCCTGTTGCTGAAAAGTATTTATCACAGCTACGTTTGCCTTGTCCCAGCTTCCCACGTATCATGCAAATAAAAAAATTCATGTAGGGTTCTAGTAGGGCACAAGCAACTATCATCTGATTTCTTTACAGACGTGGTATTAGGCTGCACTGAACTCACGGGAGGGAGAGATGTCATTTCCTACTGTCTTTCAGGATTACTGTTCCCCAGGCTTTTCTTCTTTCCACGCACGGGTCTGCAAAGGAATATTTCTCCTCTTTCTCAAATACACTAGCTGCTTCTCCCCCTTTCAATTTTATATCAGTCCTGGGGTTTGTTGTTAGGGCTTTTTCTCCCAATCTCTCAGTTTCAGACTTTGTAGGTAGAGTTGCTCCCTTGTCCTGCCTGGGATTTACAACCTGGTGTAATCCATCTCTCGCTCCTCTATCGTTAAGTGGGCAGCTGACACTAGATCTCTCAGTTCAGCACAATGTATTTATTTATTTTGGAGTCTTAAGCAAGTTATAAGCTCCTCAAATAAAGTGATGATAAAAATCCACCATCTTGTAGGCCTATTATCTCTTTGTATTTGACACACAGTATAAAACATAAGGTGAGCAAGGCACAGATGACCACAGACACCAAGGCTTGTACATAGATGCAATTTATTCTCCTCCTTCCTCTCTTAACGCCAACTTCCAACCGAAGCCTGGCCTGCAAGCCTAAAATTTACATTCCCCCAAAACATAATAGCTTGCAAACCAATTCAGCTCCTTGGTTAATCAACCACTAAGCCAGCACTCCCTCAACTATTTAGTCCTGCTCATTTTTCAAGAGAACACAAGTTTCTGCCTTGCTCCCAATGCCATTAGCATATTGCGATGCTGCAAACAGAAATAACATGCTTGCTTTTCCTCACATACTAAGTATCTCTTGCAGCTTCCAAAGGAGAAGAAAGGGCTCCCTGAAGTATGGGAAACTATCCTCTATGCTCATTATCTACCCACTTTTTCCACTGGACAACATCTGGCATCCTTGGCTTTCAGTACAGTAATCCAACAGCTAAATCAAGTTTAATTTGTTTTTCCAGGTGAAATCAAAGGCTCTAGCATACAAAGGTGAGTTGACACAAGAAGATGCAGTTGATACAAAGGAACTGTAGATGAAAACTACACAGAGCAACTATAATTTGGGCTCTTCAGCACTTGCTGGTTAGTGAAAAATCCCAGGACTTTTGACGTGGTATTTTATTCAATGTCAGAAATATGTCTAGTTTCTGTTTCAAAATACGACAAGGCATCAAAAAAGCCAAAAATAGAATACAAACCCATGTTACCTGAACTGCCACCAACAATCATTAAAAAAGTTCTGGTTTTTAAATCCCCCTAGAAGCTTGAGATGAGATTATGACAGGAACCATGAAACTTTGCATACTACCCCATCTTCTTCCTCATGTATCTGTCAGCTCGATCCTTGTATCAAGCTGCATTAAATCTCAAACTTTCCTGAGAAAATACCACAAACAAAAATTCTTCATTCTATTTCTGGCATCACCAAGACCCAAGGCACTTTTTGGTTTTGTATGTTATATGAAGAACGGAGTAACTCCTGCAGTGCACATCACCATAAAAACGTGACATTTTCTGCGGAGCTTAAAAGGAACTCACTGTGTTTGAGGGGGTCAGAGTGGTGTTTGGTCAGGTTTTTCAACCAGTATTTTACAAGATGTGAGATTTCCAACATGTTTTACCCAGTTTCATAACTTGTCTCCAGTGGTTTACAGGGTGCTTTGAAGGCAGATCACAGTAATCACACCACTTCGTGTCAAAAATGACTGACCCCCAAAATTGCACCATTGTGGGGTTCATGGGTGACTCAACTCAAAAATGTTCTAAGGATACGATGGGGATAGACAGCATGGAATAGAATTTTGGAAAGAAACATGTTTAAAAGCTCTGACAGGAAACAAGTTCTCAAACATTAGGGAAAATTTCAGTGTTAGATCCCTTACAGTTGGGAAAAGCATCAAAAAAGCAAGACCAACTAGGCTGATAATTTATCCTGTGAGGTGAAGATGGGGTCTTCTCTCTCAGCATACTCCTTCCTACATGCTACATATTCCCTAGGAAATCCAATGTGCTGCCCAACAAAGAAAAAGATGAGTCAAAAGGTAAGGGATGAGTGTTACCCTTCAAAAACACCTACACCTGCAGCAACAAAACAGACCTTAGCATTTCTGCAGAACCAAACCGTGCTGAGTATTTTGATTTTCCCACTTGAAGCCTGAGGAGTGTTTCAGCCAGAACTGGAGTGGAGTTATCTGGCATGCGTGCCAGCGAAGTTACGGTGTCCAACAGAGGTGTTGCTGATGGCACATGGTACAGATGACTGAGAAGACAGGAGATAGAATTACCTTTTAAGCACTGAGGAAGTTTTGTCCCAGAGGCAACACTCCAGAATATAACAGCAGACAGGTTATGTGACACCTCTGAGAAGGATCTGGAGATCCTGTGAGCAGTGCCTGAACGGGTACCAGCAAAACCTGCTTTGTCTCCCCTGTACCTTCACCTTCTCAGCAGACCTTCGTCTCCTTGCTTAAGGACTCAGTGCTCTCTTCCTCCCAAACGTCATGGTTTTAAAACCTGCTTTGTCTCCCCTGTACCTTCACCTTTTCAGCAGACCTTCGTCTCCTTGCTCAAGGACTCAGTGCTCTCTTCATCCCAAACGTCATGGGATGAAGGGAGAATTTTAATTTTTTTCAGGCAGGAAGGGAGAATTTAATTTTTTTTTAAACACACTTGTACCCCTGGATAAGAGAGGTATCAACCTAAAACACTGAACTGAATATTCACAAGGTTCACATCCCAAAATCTAAGTGAAAGGATATACGGACTTTTCCTAAAATTATTTTTTCCTACCATGCTTCTCTAGTTCTATGGGTTCTCCTGAAATGACTTACAGATGGTACATATCTCTGATGTGCTTCTCTCCCCAAAACAGTAAGCATCTGGCATGCCTACTGTTTAATTACACAACAGGCTCGTGCAGGAGGAAACATTTTCAAGCCTGGAAGCTTATGCTTAAATTCTGATTACACCCAGTAGCAGGAGCTGTTCACGGTCAAGAAAAAAGTTTTCAAACAGAAGGAAAAACACTATTAACACACAGCAAGTGAATATTCAGGAAGTTTTTATACGTGTGAAGACAACCACACTAAAATGCAAAGAGGCTGACGCGATATAAATTTTATAAGAAACCATAGGACAATTTTGTTAAATTGTTGACCACCACTGATGATAAACTCAAAGATTCAAGCCACAAAACAGTGCTAGTTTTTTCTGGAAACGACTATAATCTGGCTGTATCTCTGGAATTTTAAGTGCAGACCGAGTTAAAGTAGACCTCAACTATTATTCTAGCCTACCACCTTCAGAAATAAGTATTAAAGTCATTCATCTGTAACTTTTGTATGCTAACAAAATGTTCCCAGGAAGCCTGACACCCCAAATTCTTTAATCCCTGAATAGTGCACTCCCTCTGCTGGCGCAGCACTGATGGCACACCTCAGCAGAGCCATTCTGATTACACTAATTTCTAGCTAGGAAGTCCATGCATGACAATATTTCTTCACATTTACACCTGCTGTAGCTGTGTTAACACTGGAGAGTCCGCTAAACAACTTCCACAAGAGATGCTTTCAAAGGTGCCCATTAAAAACTGACTTCTCCAATGAAACTCTTGCAGGAGTGCAACAAGACACCACCATCCTTCTCAGTCGACTCAAAATCTGTACTTGTCAGGCTAGCAGTCATTTTCAAGAAGAAAAGTTTCTGAAGACTCACTGTTGCAGCATTTCTAACTTTGCAACAAGTAGTTGTAAGATGTCAAATAAATCACACAGGAGTGAGTTTGCAGCAGCAAGCTGACACTAACAATCCCGTTCAGTCGTGCAAGGGTTGCGTTTTGACTGATTGCCCACGTTTTAATAAGGCATGGAAGTCTTACAGCAGCATTGTTTCAAGAGGTCCTGTGTCCCCTCACATG